CTGAACTTCTTAATGAAATAGGAGCATTTCAGAACATTCATGCAATCTGGTAGACTTGAGTTTAAGACCAGATGTTCTCAGCCTTAACTGTAGCAGAGCAGTAGCTTTTCTATATTTTGTTTTATTTTCAGTCTGCAACAGAGGTTCTTTCAGAAGAAAAAAATGGCTTTCTTTTAATCAGTTCCAGTTACTTCTACTCAAGTATCCAATGCTCAGACACATTTAAAAAATTAAACTGAAACACTACGAGGTGTATTTTATATCTTTGCTCCATACAGTGTAGTCATTGAGACAGTAGTAGGAGAAGTATGTATATTCAGGAAGAATTGTTGACTGCAATATTATATCATTTTTCTCTTTTTTTATGGCTACAGTTACTTTTTCTTGAAGACATGAGAATAATACCTTATTACCAGTAATGCTGTAGGTAAAACTGCCATTGGAATTCAGAAACAAAACTGCTCTCTAGAGAGAAGTGGGAGAATCAGTGAGTTCTGTGTATTTTAAAGTAAAATGTACATAAATAGCTGATTACAGAATGTCTTTCTCACTAGATCTGGGGTGCAGATGCAGGAGTATCTCACAGCCCCCCTTCTGTTCTGGTGTGGAAGAATCAGGGCAGCTGGGGCACTGGAGGAAACATCCGCACATACCTCGTGAACTCTGAAGGAGAGGTAGGTGGGGCTGTAGGAGAACAAGCTGTGGGCTGGATTATCTCCCAAACCCCTTTAATTTGGGGGGCAGAGGATGATGAAATCCTGATTTTCAAATCTCTGAATTAAGACAGTTTATAACACCAAAATAATCACCTGTATGTATCTCTGAGATTTTTAGGAAATTCTGGAAAACTGGGATCATCATCCTGATTACATCCATGGACATTTTTTCTGTTTTAGGAAAACATAACTGCTAGTAGAGAACTCGTTTGCAATTTGAGTATGTGTTTCCAGAAGAGAGAGACTTCAGTATCAAAAAGTTACATTATACAGTACCTATAATATTCTGGGGTGACATGTAAATTTTAATGTAGGAAGACAGCTGTCCTTTAGATGTTGGAAGTACATAAAAAGCTCACCTGGCACAGGTTCCTGTGTATTCTGCACACAGTTTTTTTTGTTTTAAACCATCCTGGCAGATGACTCCTGGAAGGGAGGTTGTGCTCCAGCTGTTACACGGAGCTGTGCCAATGTCCCAGTGATCTGGTAGAATGACAGGATTGGGTTTAGAAGACACATTTAAGGTCATTGAATCCAGCTGTCCCCAGCACTGCCAGGTCCCCACTGCCCCATGTCCCTCACCCCACATCTCCACAGCTTGGAAACCCCTCCAGGGGTGGGGACTCCACCACTGCCCTGGCAGCCTGGCACAGCCATGGGCAAACCTGGCAGGGAAGAAAACGTTCCTAATATCTAATCTAAACATCCCTTGGCACAACTTGAGGTCATTTCCTTTTGTCCTGTTGCTTGTTGCATGGGATGAGAGCCTGACCTCCACCTGGCTCCATCTTCCTGTCAGGGAGCTGTGGAGAGCCAGAAGGTCTCCCCTGAGCCTCCTTTGCTCCAGGCTCAGCACCCCCAGCTCCCTCAGCTGCTCCTCCCCACACTTGGGCTCCAGCCCCTTCCCCAGCAGCTTCATTACCCTTCTCTGGCCACACTCCAGCCCCTCAAGGGCCTTCATGGAGTGAGGGGCCCAAAACTGACCCCAGGATTTGAGGTGGGGCCTCCCCAGTGCAGAGTCCAGGGGGATGATCCCTGCCCTGGTCCTGCTGGCTGCAGAAATGGGGAGGTGACATTGACCACAGCTGGGTCAGTTTTCAGGCTGCCTTTCTTGCTGCAATGCTGTGGAAGCACTTTGCAGGAAGAGCAGCACAGAACGAGGGAGGGTCGTTTGTGCCAACAGGATTGTGTCCTGGTTGCTTAGGACACACACAGAAGATGCTTAGAAACGAGTGTCTGTTTAAATTGTAAATCCATGTCCCTTCCCACTGTGGTTGCCCTTAGTGTCCCTGCCTAGAGGTGTGTGTTTAGGGCAACTTCCACAAGTGGAAATTGGCTCCTGTGATTTCAGGGGTTCAAGTGTACAGGTGGATTTATGACTTTCAAATGTTAAAAATAATTTAGTAATGAAGGAAGCTTTCTAGGGTTTTAGATTTCTTTTTAGTGCCTGGTTTGGAAGACCATCCTGATAACTGATATAGAATATTTTGTAGAAATTAGGTATATTCTTAGTGCTGTGTAATGGTGCTGAGAAACTTTAGTTTTGTATGTCAGGGTCTCAGCTCCTGGCTGGGTCTGCTGTGAGCTTGGATAAATTTGACTAATGACCACCTGACATATGACTACTTCCTATCAAATCACTAGGGAATGACAGAACATTCCTGAAGCTAGATTACACTATCATGCCTTTTTGCAGGTAGAAATAAGAATTTTGTTGTGATTTGCAGGATATTACTAGTACTTGCTTGCATAGCTAACCTTAAATCTAGGGCAAGTTGCTTTAAACTCCCCAAAATTCAATAGTGGTGTTATGTAGATGGTACAGCAGAAACTTGAGGTAGATGTAACTTCTGGGCCACTCCTTATTTGTCATTCTTTGCAGGAAGTTGCAGTGAGAAGTGTTACTAAGTCAGTAGTTGTGCGAGAGAATGAGGAGGAGGAGGATGAAGCAGACTTTGGAGAGGAAGACCTTTTCAACCAGCAGGTAAGAAGATGTATACCAGATGTTTAACTTCAGCCTGGTTGGTTGGATTAATCAGGTAGAAGATTTAGGAAGGTCCTTTCAGCTCTGCCAGCTCTGAGCTTCCTGGTCCATTTTTCCTGTGAGTTCTTGTGGAGGATGAGCTCAGAACAGCTTTAAACCCTTCAGGGTTCCTGCAGTGCAGAGAGAGTGTAGTGGGAGTGATTCTTCCAGGAATTGCTGCTTGAATCCATGATACAGCTCAGGCAGTGGCCAGTGTCAGGTCAGGGTGTGACAGATCACAGACTGACAGCATTGCAATGACCTAGAGCATTTTTGGGGTTAATAATGTTACTTTTAGCAGTCAGTGTTCATCCTGTTCCAGTATTTGCTTTTCTCTATAAAAAAGGTCCGTGGCATTCTTGCTGTAAGCAGGATATAACCATGGGGAAATAAACCCTCTGAAAACCAGGAAAGGTTTAATTTCTGATAGCCTATACCTGTTACATGTGAAATGAACTTGTTTTTTTCTTAATAACACCACCGGTATGTTTTAGTAACCCTTGGTTAAGTACTGTGAGAACTGACCAGCAGTTGGCAGAGTCAAAGGAGGAAAATTCTTTGTACAGGTGGTCATAGAAAATACAAAGCTAGTAAGAACTGAGTTCACTCTCTGTCTTATTTTAGGGGGATCCCCGAACAACCTCTAGAGGATGCTCAGTGATGTGAAGAAAGAAAAAAGAAAACTATTATTTGCTCTTTTTCATTTATTTCCTTTTATTTTTGCTATTTCTTTCCCTCCAGAGCCACTGAAAACTATTTTTATATGCATCATCTGATTTCTTTGAAGTTTACTCCTTGGTACATTTTTATAAAAAAAAGTCAAAAAAAAAACTTTACTGAACAAAACTGCCAGAATTTTTAATAGATTTCTTTATTTTTCCCTCTTTGTTGAAACACTATATTGCAATACAGATTTGTCCCCATACAGAGTTTAAAGTCTTATGTACAAACATGCAGCAAAAAAAAGAATTTTTTAGCTAAAATGGGATGAGACTCCTTGAGTGTATGGTAAATCTGTAATTGCATATATAACCAGGATAACTCAAAAAAAAAGAGTAAGAAAGCATATTCATCTGCAGGGCCCCAGGAGAGGTTCACAGCAGAGTCTCCTCCATGCTTTAAGTGGTAGTGTCTTGCCTGGCATCCTCAGCAGGGCCCAGCTTGGGTAAATTAGATCATTAATTTCAAATTAAATTCATGGCCAATGCTGCCTCACCAGGGGGGCAGCAAAGGGAAGCTGCATTTCAGAGGCTCTTGGCATCGTGTCCCACCCCAGGGTGTGAGAGCCTGAGTGGTACAAACCCCTGAGCCTGTCAGCACCTTTGCTCTCTGCCTTTGTCCCCAGAGGTGCAGCGTGGTGGGCTCTGCTTCCTGAGTACAGGCACCATCTTAAGGGGTGGAAGTGTCAAAACCAGCCTGGGTTATTTTCAGGGGTCTTGTTGAAAACATGGCCAGAGGGGGTGAGGCCCAGTCTCTGTGAGGTGGAGCACCCTGATGGAATGCTTCTGACTTCCTCAGCGTTAAACAGAACGATTAAGGTTTTAGATGTTGAAAATATTTTTACTTTTGGCAATGATAAATATTGGGATTTTAAAGGTTATCCTGTGTAAATGTTGACTTTTTAAATCAGAGCTAGATGCAGCTTCTTTGTACTTCTCTTACCTTCAAAGGGGCATTGTCAGATATCTCGGGTGGTGGTTGCAAACACATTACAGAAGTGGTTCAGTGACTTTTTATGAAGTTAAAAGGAACTGCTGCTGTTTAGGCCATCAGCATTGCTCTGCAGTGGTCAAATGCTCAAAGTCAAGTGTGACAGTGAGTGAGGGGAGGGAGAATAGTGTTTTTTACAAAAGGTAATTTTTCAGTGTGGTGCATTTTGTATCTGACAGTGTCCCTTTAGCTTAAGGTTTCTTCTGCTGCGTTTCTGTGGAGATAACTCTTGGTATTTGTGTAGTAGTGCATCTTTAAGCACTAGGAGAAATACTTGACTGCTCCAAAGAATGTATTGGCTCCTGTACAAGCAAATGTTTTATTTTCCACTAGTTATTAGTTTGGATACAAAATTTGGATACTGTTTGATGCCAGCATAGAATCCTGTTTTTACCTGCACTCTTGAACTCTGATCTTGTCATCCAAATAGTTTAGACTCCTCAAACAAGCTACAAGGTTTGGGTGTTTTCGGTGGCTTTTGGACATTGTTCTCTGGAGAGTATTGTGACTGACAGATATAACCTAGGAGGTCAGTTTAGTGGCTTTGACTGATGGCTTTGTAATGCAAGCAGGGTGGGAACAAAGGGGGGTTTAAGCTTACGGATTTATTTTGCCTATGAAAAATAAATCAAAGATGCTACTTTTCTCTATTTGAGTGGAGTGATTGAACTGCAGAAGTTAAACTAACAGAAATTTAGAATTATGTTTTAAACCATTATCAGAAGATCCATTACAAAAAAAAAAAAGATTTGGCTGTTTGGGCTAATGGGATAACTTTATTGATGTAGTTGGCCTTTTTTCTCATGTAATTTTCCCACTCTGCTTGAGTAGAAGGTTAAATATGTAGTAAATAATGTCTCTCTCTCTCTCTCTCTCTGTAAAATGTATTTAGTGAAATGATGTTTCTCAGACATACTGTTATGAATTACCTTTTCTGAATTTGTTGTTTTGCAAAGGAATGCAATCAATGTAGAAGTATTTTTTCAGTGCACCTTCCAACCACTGGACAGCATTTCCCTTTCTGACCCACAGCTTCTATAATTACATAATGCTTGAGGGCTTTTTGCTTTTTTTATTTCCTAAAGATCTGTATTTATTTTTTTTTTATATTGGCCAGTTTTCAGATTGCTTATTCTTGTTTAAGACTGTGATTGTTCTGTGGTCTTAAGTACTAAAGCAATGAGTGTGTAGTTCATTTGCTTTCTTTTCTGTGATTTTTAAAAGCATTTATTGTTTTTTTTAAAAATGGGCTAGGAAAGGCAGCTTGAATGAGTAAAAACCTCTTGCTACCTGAGCCATAGTTTTCTTAACAGCTGCTGTATTGGGAATGTGTCTTCTTGTAGCCTTAAGGACTGGTGCTGGCAGATCCTTTGTGATGAGCAGTGTGCCCTTCAGTTACAGTTTGCAGGGTTTGTCCTTAGTGAGATTTGGAACTGTGTCCTTTAACTCTGGAAACAGTTCATTGTACTCTTCAGGCCATGCTTAGATACATACTGGTGTTCATATAAAGCTGTGAGTGACTGGGGGGAAAGCTGAATGCCAGCAGTTAAAATGTGGGTGTTTCTGTCATCACAGTGCTTTCTGAAAGGCTACTAAACATGAGAGAGAATTCCTAGCTGTAAATTACAAGACACAGAGAAACTACTGTATTCCATGGACCTTCTTTGCTTGTGTCTTCATCCTTTCCTGCTGCTTTTAGTTGCTCAGCTTCAGTACAATGGCTCTACCCCTTTAAAGCTGGCTCCATTTTTTTTTTTTTTCTGTCAAGGATTGGAGATTTTTTTTTTTTTTTAATTTTCAGGTTAATTAAAGCTTTTTGTTCAAATAAAACCTACTGTCCCCTTGCCCTCTTCTCTGTTTGATCTTAATGTGAACCACTCCGGAAGGTGGAGGACAGTCAGCATTTGTGTTCCAGTGTCTGATACTTAGAGCTTGAAGGAGATGTAGATTTGAGTTGTCAGGAGAAAAATTAAGGTGTCTCTGATCAGGGCAATTAGCCAGGATAGCTTTTATCAGAGCAGTGTAACTACCCATGTTATTCCAGAAAAACAGGCAAACTTTATTCTAGATGAAATAGCAAAAATGACCCCAGAATGACCCTCACTGGTTGTGAGAGGGAAGGTTTAACAGCTCAGCTGCAGCAGAATAGCTGAGCCAATCTTACCATTGTGTAGATCATAACAGAATAGCAAATGAAATGTTAACCCCCTGCTGCTGGGCTTGTGCCCTCGGGAAATACCAGTGTCAGAGGAAGCCCATCCAGCTGCAGAGCCATGGGCAGGGGTGCCCTGCAGACAGGGTGGCTGCAGAGCCTCTGGCACCTCGTGCCACCTCATGCCACCTCCTCCCTTGCTTCAGTGCTTGTTCTTGGCTGTGGTGTTGCAGTGACTCCTCCCCAGCAGCAGGGTGGCTGCAGTCCCTCCCCTGCTGCACAGCTTCTTGTCCCAGGCTTAGGCTAGTCCAGGACTCTGCTTCGTCCTGGCAGAAGCAATAGTTCACCCTGATGTGCTGACCACTTCGGTGGGAGTTGCCAGCACGGTCTGTGTGTGTAGCAGGAACGAAAAGTCTCAGGAAGAAAATAAACATCTGCTTCCATGAGCTGTGATGTAGAAGCCAGAGGAGCCCGTCTGCTGCTGGCGTTGGCTCTGAACTGCACTGCAGCTGAAGCAGACTGCACTGTGAAAGGAGATCACTCATGTGCATGGTTATCCTTGAGCAACAGGACACCTCATGTTCAGTTCAGGGATCTTACTGGGTTTTAGACACCCTTTTTTTCTTCTTTTTAATCCTCATCCTGTATAATCGCCCTTTAAACGCAGCCTGAGCAGAGCTTAGTTACAAGAGGCCTGTAGAAATCTCTGTGCCCCAGAACACTGGAGAGTCTGTGCATCAGGAGGGTGCTGATGCTGGGGGAAACCACCAGGGCAGTCTGGTTGGCACCTCGTAACCACTCCCCTCCCCTCCTCACTGCTGAGCCCTTCTGTCTCTGTCCGTGTCTTCTTTTGAAAGTCTTACCTCTAAACAAAGGTGTATCCATATTTGATACTGGATTTTATTGCCTCTGTTGGGTCCAAATCCTTTGTGAGCAGGAGCAAAGCCTTGTAACCCAGTGAGTGGAAGGTGAGATAGCGATTGCATTTTTCAAAGCATTGTTTTAGCTGAATGTCAAGACAAATTATATTGGAGAGTTTCTTTTCTCACTTAAAAAGGCCTGGGAAACAGAATTTTTTATTTGCCCTTCAATATGCTTA